TCATATCAACGCCAAGTGTCCGGTAAAAGGGGTCGCTCAGTAGATGAGAGGAGATATCTACTGAGCCATGTCAGCACCAGCAAACTCTCCTCACCTTTCACCATACCCGCCGATCTGATCACCCCCAGCAAATCTCAGGTCTCTATTAAAGCTTTCATTGATTCTGGGGCTGATACTGAATTCATTGACCATGACTTTGCTGTAACAGCAGGTATTCGGTTTTGTTCTACCCCCCACAAACTGTCAGTAGTGGCCTTAGATGGTCATCCTTTGAACTCTTCTTCTTTGATTACTGAACCAGTTTTATTGTGTTTAGGGGGTAACCATAAGGAGGAGATATCCTTTGTGGTCATCAAATCTCCCCAGGCTCCAGTGGTCTTAGGAACCACATGGTTAATGAAACATAATCCCCATCTAGACTGGAGGAGGGGAGAGATTTTAGGGTGGTCGGATGACTGTTTAACTACATGCCTTTTTGATGCTGTGGTCCCTGTAGAAACAGTAGATAATAATGTGACTTATGATTCAGATATATCTAATGTGCCCCGAGAGTATCACGACCTTAAGAAGGTCTTTAATAAAACTAAGGCCACCTCGCTTCCTCCTCACCGTCCGTACGACTGTGGCATTGATCTTATTCCAGGGTCTACTCCTCCTAGAGGAGCTCTGTACTCTCTCTCAGCCCCAGAACAAGCCACCATGAGAGAGTACATTCAGGGGTCCCTGAAATCTGGCATCATCCGCCCTTCCGCCTCTCCTGCCGGTGCTGGGTTCTTTTTTGTTAAAAAGAAGGACGGGTCTCTGCGTCCTTGCATAGATTTCAGAGGACTTAACAAAATTACTGTTAAGAACAAATATCCTCTTCCCCTTATGTCCACTGCTTTTGACCTTATCCAGGGGGCTAGCATCTTCACCAAATTAGACCTTAGGAATGCCTATCACTTGGTCCGCATCAGAGAGGGGGACGAGTGGAAGACGGCTTTTAATACCCCCGATGGGCACTATGAGTATTTGGTTATGCCATTTGGTTTAACCAACGCACCGGCCGTGTTTCAGACTTTGGTGAATGACGTGCTAAGAGACATGGTCGGCAGATTTGTTTTTGTGTATCTCGATGATATACTTGTGTTTTCTAAAGACATAATTTCACACCGTAAACAAGTGAGATCTGTTCTCACCCGCCTGTTACAGAATGGACTATATGTCAAGGCTGAGAAATGTGAATTTCATGTCTCTTCAACTTCATTCCTAGGTTTTGTTGTGTCCCCCAATAGTGTCGAGATGGATTCCAGTAAGGTCTCTGCTGTGGTGGATTGGCCCGTTCCTAAGGACCGCAAACAGCTTCAACGTTTCTTGGGGTTTGCCAATTTCTATAGACGTTTTATCAAAGGCTACAGTATCATCGCTAAACCCCTTCATGAACTCACTTCTACCAAGTCTCGTTTTTTCTGGTCCACTGCAGCAGAGACCGCATTTACCGAACTTAAGAGACTTTTTGTTTCTGCTCCCATCCTGCAGTCCCCCAATTCAGAGGAGCCTTTTGTAGTGGAGGTGGACGCTTCCAGCACTGGTGCGGGGGCTATTCTTAGTCAGCGCAATGAGGATGGACGTCTTCACCCATGCGCCTTCTTCTCCCGCAGCCTGTCCCCGGCAGAACGAAATTATGATGTTGGGGACAGGGAGCTGCTTGCTGTTAAGCTCGCCCTGGAGGAGTGGCGTCACTGGCTGGAGGGTTCCAGGTTCCCGTTCCAGGTATGGACTGACCACAAGAACCTGGAATATCTCAGGTCCGCTCGTCGCCTTAATCCTCGCCAGGCCAGGTGGGCCTTGTTTTTCTCTCGATTTAATTTCACCCTCTCTTATCGACCTGGGGAGAAAAATGTTAAGCCCGATGCCCTGTCTCGCATTTTGGAGGGGGATAATTTCCCCTCGGCTCAGGAAGAGAGTTTTATCCTTCCTGAGAGTGCCCGCCTGGCCATCACCCAGTTAGAGCAGGACCTGAGAGACCTCAGCCAGACACGTCCTCCTCCAGCTAACTGTCCACCTGATCGTCTATATGTTCCATCCGATAAGGTTAAACAGGTCATTCATTTTTGTCACAACTCCCTGCTGTATTGTCACCCAGGTTTCGCCAAGACCCTTTTCACAGTCAGGTCCCAATTTTGGTGGGAGACCATGTCCAGGGACGTTCGCCTGTACGTTCGGTCTTGTCCAGCCTGTGCTCAGTCCAAGACCTCCAGACGATCTCCATCGGGGCTTCTTCGCCCCCTTCCTTGCCCTTCGCGTCCCTGGTCTCATATTGGCATGGACTTTGTAACTGGTCTCCCACCTTCTAACAATTTCACTGTCATCCTCACCATTGTCTATCGTTTCTCCAAAATGATTCATCTGGTCCCCCTCTTTAAGTTACCGTCCTCTAAAGAACTGGCTCACGTCATGGCTCGTGAGGTTTTTAGGCTTCATGGGTTGCCTGTAGACATTGTTTCTGATCGGGGGCCTCAGTTTGTCTCCCACTTCTGGAAAGAGTTTTGTGGTCTTCTGGGTATTTCTATTAGCCTCTCCTCGGGTTTTCACCCTGAGACGGACGGTCAGACTGAGAGGGCTAATCAGGAAGTGGAGGGCAAACTGAGGCTCCTCTGTCTTAACGACCCCGAGAAGTGGAGCTCTGCTCTCCCGTGGATCGAGCACGCCTTCAATTCCGTCCCTTCATCTGCCACTGGTCTGTCCCCTTTTTACACTGTTTTTGGTTTCCAACCACCTGTTATCTCTGTTCAGGAGAGGGAGGCATCTGTTCCCTCGGCCCACCTCGCCGCTCTCCGTTGCCAGAGGGTGTGGAGGAGGGCCAAGACCGCCTTGCTCAAGTCACGTGCTGCCTACTGTAAAAAGGCGGACCGCCATAGGACCCCCCAACCTGAGTATGCGGTGGGTCAGAAGGTGTGGCTCTCCACGAAGAACCTTCCCCTGAAGGTTGCTTCTCGTAAACTTGCCCCCCGCTTCATTGGTCCTTTCCCCATCTCCAAGATCATTAACCCCGTGTCTGTTCGTCTTACTCTGCCCAAGTCCTTACGTGTCCACCCCTCTTTTCATGTTTCATGTGTCAAACCTGTCTCCTCCTCCCATTTTCATTCCCCTGTTGCTTCCCCCCCTCCCGCCCATCTGATCGATGGTTCACCGGCTTACACCATCCGCCGGCTCCTCCGTTCTAGACGGCGGGGTCGGGGCCTGCAGTACCTCATCGATTGGGAGGGGTACGGACCGGAGGAGCGGTCCTGGGTGCCCTCCCGTCACGTCCTGGATAAGCCCTTGATCCGGGACTTCCATCGCCTGCATCCTGAGCAACCTGGTGGAACGCCGGGAGGCGTTCCTTGAGGGGGGGATCTGTCACGAATCACGTCTGTCAGTTAGGTTTTTGTGTCACTCTGTTCACTTGTTTTTGTTCTGGGGATCTATTCTTTTGTTTTTCTCTTTCTCTGCATGTGGGTTGAGGTTTGTCTTCACTCCTAGTTTAACATTGTCTTCACTGCAGCCAGCAGCGCTGATTGCGCTCAACTGGCTGCACCTGTCCTCCTCTCCCTTTATAAGCTCACGGCTGACTCTTTTTCGGTGCCCGGTAGTTGAACACTTTTAGTTAGTAAATACCTCGCGCTCATGACCACGCTCTGTCCCTGTCCTGTCCTCTCAAGTCCTTGTATTCCTGTTTTACTCGTTTCTGTCCTCCCGTCGT